AACTCGTAATCATTATCTTCTGAAAGAATAAATCACATAAATATCAGAAACTTTTGCTTCCAGTTACAGTTAATAACAGTATTTGTAAAAAGTTCATTCTAGTTATTTTTCATTTTTATTTCTTTTTCATCAAGAACTTAATAGTAGTGAACAAACACGTGAAATGATAAATTCATTGTTATCAGCATTCAGAATAATTTTCTGTACAATCTTCATTCTACTTTGATATTATTGCCGAGAGCAACTTTTCGGATTTTATGTAAAACAATCGACGTCCATGAATTTTTCACTGAACATCTTTTACCGACAATTCAACATTATTCAAATTTCAGTATTCATATTTGTCTCATGTATTTAGTAGACATCATACTTCAGATGTATTCGTTAATTACTTTAAGAAAAAATAAGTAAGATTTTAAAATTTTTTCTTTTCTTTACAACAAGAAAATACAACACACATATACACACAGAACATTAAGAAATCTTGCTTAACTTAATCTTGCATTTTATATAAATATAAAAAAAAAAGATTAACACCAACGACAGATCTGTATCATACAGTAGTATAAGCTAATTCCCATACGAATATCTGTCAAAAACTAAAAACAAACATTAAAATAATAAAAATATATTTAAAACCAAACACGTACAAAAATTTAGCTATTTAAAAAACAAGTTTGTATCTCAATAACAAGATTAAAAAGAAAAATGGCTAAAAGTTTTGCAATATATATATATGCATTGTTTGAACAACAACGGAGTCCCTTCATTCACGCTTACTAGAAAAGAAAGTCAGAAGAATTTCTCAAGTAATAGGATTTTCAAATATTAACGATCTTGTTGAAGACACAAATAACGATTGATAACTACGAGGAATACAGTTTCCTTATTTTACAATACTTGACAGATCTTCTCACTGGAATAAAATCTCAAACTTTGCCTTTAAAAACATTTTAACGTAAAAAAAAAAACACGTACACAAAATTAATGTTCCACCACATACTGTATACAAGAAAAAAATTAAATAAGTTTTTTGCTAATAAAATAAGAAAAAAAATTAGTTTTGTAATAAAACTTCATTATTTGAGTTTAATATTAAATATTTCAAGTCATTCTATAAACGTATGTATTTGTTTATAATTTTTTCTTATTTCTAATACAGTTCCATAAATCATCAGTTTGAATATGTTCAAATTTTACTTTTTGTTTAATTGTGTTATACTTTTCATCTTTTGTACCAACATAATGTGTAATCATTCCATAGTCATTCTTATCTTCTACAATATTTCCATCAAATGCTGTTATATAGCGCGCTAAATTTTCTTTTTCATCACTAGACAATGTTGATGATAAATAAAATACGTACGGATTAAATATCGTTGGAAAATTACATATAATCGTTGAAGAAGAATCACTATTTGTTGCTACTGTTTTTTTTCGTGAAACATTACTATCATCCATACCATCGGCTGATCGTTTCAATGATTTTTCTTCACCATTGTTATTCCTATTTTCAAACGAAAACGTTAGTTCATCATCATCCATTTCATCATCTATGTCTTCGTCTTTAAATAAAACAGTTGGTTTTGATTTTTCAAATAGTTTTGTCAAATATTCAAGATCAGTCGCTTCTTTCCATGATTTATCATCTCGAACCTACATAGTAGGCAAATAAATATATTTTTAGTATTTTACCAAACACAATTAAAAGATGAAAATACGAACTGTTGTCACTCGTGGAAAACGAATACTAATTCCATTTGCCGTATGTGCTTTTGAATGTGAAAATTCAGCTCCCTGAAAAGAAGAAATATAAATGTTAAATGAGTAATCAAATTTAAACAATTAACTTACAGTTATTTCCCATACTGGCGATTTTTTCGGATCATCGACAATAAAATCTGGTACATATTGACGATTTATATTTAACCTAAATATATTGTGTAAAATAGTAAGAATGAATAGTTAAATAACTAATGCTAATAGTTACTACGCTATAATTAAAGAGTCATAGCTTTGTTTATTAAGGCAACTAATTGCACAAATCTATCATAGATTATATCAGGTACAGATGCATACGAGAAAAATGGGTTCATCCTCCTTTCTTCCATATCTTTTTCAGTTAATATGCATGATGAATATGTTACAATATAATTATGGGGACCTATGGAAACACAAAACGTAGGTGAAACATTACCACCAAGCTTTTGTCTCTAACTGTGCTATGATCTTCTTTGTAGTAGAAATACTGCAAGTCTTCGGGATAGTAACAAACTGCACTTTAAATCTTTACAATTTGTAGTGCACGACAGTAAATATGATAGAAATTATGACCCTTTATTTCTCAAGATCACACCACATTCGGGTTGTGGAAGGACACCTCCGAGTATATGTTCTAGCAAATTTTTCGGTTACCCAGCTTGTAGTATTTGATTAAAAAAATTTTTAACTTTTTTTCAGGTGTTTTGTTCGATTTTTAAAATTTTAATAAAAATTTCAGTTTTTTATATGAAGAGTTCATTCTTGCGTAGTTCGACTTTTCATCGTTCCCGAATGAAGTTTAACGCAGAAATTAACTTTCACCTTCCCAATGGAATTTTAGATAGGTATTTGTATAGGTATTTTGAAGAGAGTCTTACGGCTAGTTTCGCTCGAAGCAAGAGTAAAACTCTGAGTACAAAAAGTTGTTCAGAATTGACTTCCAGAGTCCCTTACGAAAGTTTTTTTCAAAATTTTTGCTTTTTAATTTTAAAATTGAAAAATATGAAGTTTTAAAATTTTGAATACCGTAAAATTTAATTTTTCTTCGAGTGAAACTAGCCGTAAGATGCTGTGAAAAAATCTTCTTTCGGTCAAAAACTAACGACAGTCTGTCCGTTCTCTATTCATCATAAAAACTTGGTTATTGCGTAGGCCGATAGAGAAATGTATGGAGAATATTTGCTACAAGAAAATATGTAAAAATTTGTTCTCTACATTTTACGAAGATCCAGTTCCAGTGGCCTAAATTGGTTGGATGATCAGCATTTAGTGAGAGATATAACCATACAAAATTTGAAATTCAAAACTATTATAATTCAAGAGGTAATGGTAGATTCGTACTTTAAACCACTAGTCAGTCTATTTGCCATTTTCTTACAACAAATACTCACCATTTTGGTATTTTTTTAACATCTTTACTAATTTTAATCAAATTTGGTTTTAATTCTGTTTGTAATTCATCAATTTTTGCATCATCAAATCCATTACCACATTTACAAACTGTACACCATTGATTTTTAGTTTGATCATAACATCCCAAGAGGAACACGGACATTAGACCACCCTTCTTACCCGTTCCATAATAAGCACCCAAAACAACAAGATCACATGTATCAGCCATAGCACCTAGATACAAAAAACAAAACAAAAAAAATATAGTAATATCACATAATGATGGTAAAAATAAGAGAATAACAAAACGATATCTACCTTCAAGCAAATAATCTTTTTTCACTTTTAACCAATGACGTTTTCCCGGTTCATATAATGAATTTGGATCTTTTAATACCAAACCTTCTAATCCTTCGCTAATGGCATGATTGATTAACGTTTGTAATTCTGATTTTTTCGTCACCACTTTTTGTTCCGATAAAAGTATACGATTTTCAATCGGTGACATATGTTTTACTAAAATAGCACGTCGATCTTTCATTGGTAAACCCAATAATGATTCACCATTAAAATAGAGACAATCGAATACAAAAAAAGCAACCTGAAATAAAAGAAAAAAATTAATGATAAATAATATCTTGAAAACCTGAAAATATATACATACATTTGCCTCTTTATATTCGGTCTTTTTGTGGATGCCTAATGTTCCGAATGGTAATGGTTTTTTCGTTCTAAAAGAGCAAAAAAAAATTGAAATGTTATAAATTGAAATGATGTAAATGACATACTTAATATCAATTAATAATATTTCACCATCTAATATTAGATCATCGGCTTTTGGAAATGCTTGAGTGATATATTTATTTAAATCTTGTACTTTATGTTGTTGAATTGGTTTTAGATTTCGACTAAAAAATTCAAATTTATTTTTATTTTTATGTAATTGTAGACGTTCACCATCATATTTAATTTCGGCTAATATTGTATTTTTACATTTTT